ACACGCAGACAGCCTCTTCCCAATATGCGTTTTTGCAATTTGCATATATGCAAAAACGCATAAAAAATCAATCATTATAGAATGATTCAAGAGCACTGCAGAAATATGATAAAACAATGAAGCAAAAGTGGAAAGCATTTTGGCTTTTTAATTATACAGGGGAAGTATACGGGATGAAACTGACAGAGCTTTGAACTGAAAAATTGTAGAAAAAAACTTAAAACAGCTATTTTTGTTTGAAAACATCCAGTGCTGAAACTGGAATGCTGCTTTTCATAATATTTTGAAATTCCCTCAAATTCCGGTCGCAACTATACCCCAGGCTGTTCAGCTCCGCTTGCATACCTCTGCAGATTGTGCCCACAGTCAGCTCGATGTACATGCGTCATCTCTTTGGGGCGGCCAGTCGAGTGGTTTTTTTCGCTTTGGATGTTCATATTACAGCTGAAATCAAATTATTTATGGGTTTCAATTAAAAACTTTTCCAAAGAATATTATTTTGGCTAAGTGGAACTATCAATTCTAGGCAATGGGTATCCAGAATCATTCGGATCGGGCTGTGATTAAGAAAAAGATCAAAGCGATCAAATCGAAAATTGAACGTGAACGCAAACAACTGGAGAAAGAAAGCCGACTTCGGACAGTTGCCGCAGTGCAGTGACAGCGGCTCCTGGCTATGCGCCTTCATTCAGAAGCATTCATTTCAGTCGCGCATTCAGCCCAGTATTTTAGTGCATTTAATTGTAGGTAACTGTTGTTTTACATATTTTGCGCTGTATAAATAATTAACTGCCTGCTCCGATAGCACTTGTTTTTGTATGCATGTTCTTTCAAAACCGCTCTAAAACGACTGGTACCTAGCTAATTCAGCCGGAGAGTGCTTCAGGGCAGATGGGGTCCTTCGGGATGAAGGTATCCAAACCCCGTTGTGATGTCAAGACCGGTAATGTCGATATCTTTGCGGTCTCTTTTTTTGCTGAACTATTGTGATATATACCTACTGTGGTCCGATCCAAGCATCCCCTGCTTTGGTCCCAAGCTTGCAATCCCCCTTCTCTCTGTGTATGCCTAATTCGGCCTTAATTTGTTTTTTTTTTTTGTCACATTTCACTCGGTAACGCTGCTAAGTGTACTTCCCCTCTTTCAGGCGCTTTTTTTTGCACCAAGTTTTCGTTTCTACTGCAGATGCATTTTAAACGATTTTCTTATTGTCGTCGTCTATTTTCAGTTATTAAGCCTTGTGTACGTAACATATTTTTTAACCGCATACTGAGCTTGCCTCAGACCTGACCACTGTCCATTCCACTGTGCGGTCTTTTTTGCTGAACTTCAGAGCAATTAGCAAAAACTGGCTTGGCCATGTTGGGAGGCCATACGATAAATGGGGATAGCGAGGCGGAAGTAGAAAAGAGCGGAAAGACGGGGAGGGGGAGGGGGGGGGAGAGCCAGGAGTGATTTAGGCCTCGTCACAGCAGAGGGGACAGGGTGGGGTTATTGACTGGAAAGGAGCTGTAGCCTTGCTTCTTCTAGGTAGGAATTGGAAACGGAATAACGATTATATAGGTTTGCGCTCTTCAGCAAGAAAGTAACTGCAGAATTGAAGCTGTTAAGCTTGGGGTGCGTGACATCAAAAAACTTAGAAATTTCGTGCTTGTGCACGTCGTACATTGCGCCAAAACCCACAAACGTGTGCATATTGCGCGGCCGAGCAAACTTTTAGAAATTGCCGGTCTTCAGTACTTTTTTGGTACTTAGCAAGAAATTTGACGTATTTGAACTGAACGTAGTTCCTTTTTCTTCTGAACTGGTGTACAAAATTCAGCCCCCAGTTTTTTGACAGGAAAATGGCTAACTCAAGAACTGGGAAAGCTGGGAGGCTTGCAATTCAAGGGGATACTCCACGCCCATGATTTCTCAGTTTAACTTGTGTTAATCTAATTGCACATTAACTTTTTTCATAAACTGCGTTTTTCGCCTCCATTGTCTGTTTGGCTGGAGCTGGTTTGGGCAATACGTTCGGTGCAAAAGAAAGGCGAGGAACAAGGGTATCATTTCCCCCTCTCCCACTCTGACACACGTGCATGGTACTAGTCATCATTATTACTTGTGTGTAAAATGTGATTTCTTTGCTGTCTGTATTATGTTGGAAACACAATTCTGTGATGAATTATATATTATTTATACCGGAATTTTATCGCTCATTCATTCCACTAACTTTGTTATCATCAAAATAAAAGGCAGCTAAATGATTGATTTCCTCGTTTTTCCACTGATAACCTGATAAAGAGAAGTTCGTGCTGAGCCGAAGATCAATGTTTCGACGGCCGGGCAAACACAGAGACATATTTTTCGCGCATATTTTGCCGAAGAATACGGGCATTGTGCTGTGGGGTCGCTTAATTTGAGGTAGGCTTTCTTCCTGCATTATTATTTTTTTGCATGGATTTGCTTATCAAAAGTGCTGAAAGATGCAGGACAAATGAGCTTGTTAGCTGAAATTTATGATGCTGATATCGTAGCAACGAGA